GAGCCCTTCAGAGTTGTAGCCAGAGCCAGAGGCCACGCAGGACAGTGTAGTCCTAGACAGGCTGGCGAGTGGCTCCCTAAGCAATCCCACCAAAGTCCCTCTCTGGTCCAGGCCAATCCATTGGAAACAGCAAGAACACACCAAAAATGATCTAGACAAGACCTTTCAAAACTCAGCAGGGCAGGCCACTGATGGGCCATAACTATCAGGTTGTTTCCATGCTGTCTTATTATGGGGTGTATAAAAAGACCACTGGGCAAACACACAGGCTGTCTGTCAAGACAGACTTTCACCCTCAAAAGGAGAGGCCCTGTCAAGTGGGAAAACCCAGCAAGGGAAGCCAGCTGAAAATGCTCCAGCCCAGAAAAATTAAGTCATTTGCCTGAGCAAAACGTTTTAATGGTAAAGTTGGTTATAAAAGTGCTACTATGTATGCACAAGACAAAGAAGGGCATGGGGAAGCTGCTGGGGCTGTGGGGGTGTGTGGGGGAGGAGAGAAGGAGGTGTGCCAGCAGGAGCTAACAACGGTGCGCCTGGGCAAGCCGATGAGGGGAATCAAGAGCAATAATGTTAAAGGGGACTGGGGTGTCGGGTGCACAGGAGGAGGGAAGTAAGTCACGAGATCTTTTGCTGTAGGTGATACGGATGGATTTTCCACCGAGCTAGTCTTTCCCCTACACTTTGTAATAACGTAGCTTATTTGTAATAATTATTTTGTAAAAATGTAATTACTTTTTTGTAACAATGTAATAATAAAGCTTTTTGTAATAAAGCTGTGCTCCTTTTTCTGTACGTTGAAAGAAAGAAATGAACAGAGCAGTCTGGATCTTCTTCCACAAATAGTAGCTGTCAGGAGTGTCTAGGAGAGCAGTGTTTGGTGGTTGGGATAGACAGGACGCTGGTAAACGTGGATGAGGGGGTAGAGTAGGAGATGATGTTAGGGAGCTGGCTGTGGGTCAATAAGAGGAGGAGTCTGGGTGTTCAAGTGTTAGAGAGGAACAGAAACTTTGAGGAGAAATTTGGAAAGAACTTTCGTCTTGGTCACAGAGGACATACGGGATCAGGGAGGGAGAGGCAAACCCACACACAGGGGTTCCTACCTTGAATGGTGCCATCGGCCAGAGTAACCAAAAGATATGTCACCCCAGAGAGCTGTGTGGGTTCCTGGACTTTGGAATGCATGGCCACCTGGTGCTATCCAGCTCTCTGGGGCCATTGCCTGCCTTGGAGAAAAGGACAACACACCCAGGGAAGCCGAATGGTGTGGGTAAGCTTGGTCCCCCAAGCCAGCGAACCGGCATCTGTGGGCATCACTCTGCAAAAGGATTTGAGGTTAGGCAATTAAAGCAGCCCCAGGAATGCCTCTGGCTTCTTCTCAGAGGTTAGAGCTGTGCCAAATCAATGAAGCTCTCTTTATGAAAGTCAATTTCCCTGGAAAACAAATTTGGGTTCTAACCAACATTTGGCAAACTCTCCTGAAGAAAGCCAGTGTTTGGAGGAGTGAGGAACACAGCAAGTCATTGAGCAGAGCAAACCTGGGACCCTACTGCTGTGTCAGGGCTGTGGCAGCTGCTGTTCCCATCAGCTGGGAAAGTCCAAAGCTGTGGCTTTGTTTTAAGATCTTACTGCCACAAACTCCGGTCTGTCCTAGCCCCCTCAGGGTCTTGGAAGCGGGGAGGGAGAACAGAAGATGACTTGGAACCCGATTTCCTCTCCCTGTTCAGTGTGTAGAGGACACTGGCTCTCAACAAGACCCAGAGCAATAGCTACTTGGAGGTCACTCCTTGACAGTCATCCACAGTGGGAGCTGACCTCAGCATGAGCTGAGATTTCCTATGCGGTTGTTTCGTATGCAAGATCACCAAAAGCTATTTGAAAACTTTTGGGTCGATCATTTGACTCATACTCTGCCCTCACCTGAAGGTTACCTACCTAATATGACCCCATAGGCTGGGGCTTCTAGTGAACATCATAGAGGGCTCCTGTCAAAATGTGGAGTCAGATTCTGTAGGTATGAAGAGAGCCTTAGAGTCTGCATTTCTAGCACATTCTCCAGTGGTGTGGATGCTGCTTTTTGTACATCACACCAGGAGTGGTAAGGCTGAGGGAGAGCTCTGGCAAGTCGAATCCCACATAGCACCTTGGTCATCCCTTAACTGTAGTAAATGGGCTGTTTCTTGCCTATGTTCCCTACATGATATCACACTATGTGTGACACAAGAAACGGCAGTTCCCAGATCTGATACATATGCTCTTGGAAATCCTGTGCAAAGTATGTCTTACTTTCCCTTCCAGGTTGTATATGGGGCAGGCTAGAGAGGCTGAGTGTCCTCTGGAAAAGGTTTGACCATTTCTTTTGGTGCCCAAGCACTTGGATTGGGAGCAGTACAGCCAGGCCTGAGTTGGCCTGATGCCCACCTGTCACCCATAGACATGGGATCCCGTGCAAAAGCTCCTTGCAAACACTGGTTTGTCTTCTGCTTCTGAAGGCTCATTGTTGAGTGTTCCAAAGTTGTTTTCAAATAGCTTTTGGTGATCTTGCATGTGCCACAGAACACAAAAGCGGTCATTTTTCTAAAGTACCTGGAAAAAGTCTAGTAATTATTGTTCCAAACAAGCCTCATTTTCTTGTGTTTAGATTTTCTAACATGGAAAAGGGGGGAAAAAAGTTCTTAAATGAAAGCACTGTGTTTTGCCCTGGCAACTCCAGGTCATGGGGCTAGAGGACCTCCCCACACAGAAACATCACCGTCTTTGAAGCAGCAGCTACTACCATGGGGGGTATGTTTACATTACTCCCTTTTATGGTTAGGGGTGGTGTGGAGCTTGTGGTGGAATTTTTAAAAATATCTAAACAGTAACTGAAGCATTACTGTGATCTCCTCACTGAGCTCATGGAAAAACTCGAGTCATCCAATGTTAGTTTTATAGAGGGGAGTGAGGGTGCCTGAGATCACTAGCCTTGCTCAGACCCCCTCCATTTTGTCAGAGATGGGGGTGCTGGCCTGGAAGGTGGAACGTGCCTCCCAGACTCTTCTCCCAAGTTAGCACTGCTGGTTTTCCTGGCCTGAGGGATGCTTTCTGGGATCAGGTCTGCACTTGACTCTCTATGGGTGTCTTCCAGCATCCTAGACCAAGACAGTCGTCAAATTCAGAGCTGTGTTTTGCTTTCTAGCAGAGCAGAGGCTGTTTGGACCGGCTTTGTGTGCAGCATTTCTCTCTGTTGAGAGTTCCTCAATCAAGGCCTCCCTCGTCCCAATGCATCTCCACCCACTGCGTTGTCAGCCTCTTCTCTGCTGGTACCTCCCTCCAGCAAATCGTTGATTAGCTCTTGCTCCGTGTCCCCTCACAGGAGAATGGCTTCCAGGTCTGAATCTCCATCTTTTACCCCTTCCTCAAGCCCTGGATCAGGCTGTCTGTAGACATTCCACTGAGATGAATCACGTGTACCTCAAACTCGTCAGGTCCCAAGCTACTCATCTTTCCCTGGCAGAGTATAACCTGTCTCCATGCCCTTCATATGAAAAACAGCAGCAGCAGCCATCATGATGCCTGCATCTCAAACACCTTACTCATCCTCAATTCTTCTTTGTCCCCCAGTACATAGTGTATCAGTAACTTTTCTCACTGCTGGGACCTGATAAGAAACAGTTTAAAATGGCATGCAGTTCAGATGATGCCGTCCATTGTGACTGGGAAAGCAGGAAGTACAAGCTGCTTGCTCACATTTCTGCAGATCATGAGGCAGAGCATGGAGACTGCTCATGCTCATCTTACCTTCTCTTTCCCTTCTTTATTCAACCCAGCACCGCAGCCCGTGGCATGATCCCATCCCTATTCAGGACAGGTTTTTCCCTTTTGGCTAATCTTCTTTGGAAACACCATTGTAGACACACTCAGAGCTGGGCTTCACTGATGCCCCTGGCATTTGTCAGTCCAAGCCAGGTGGTAACCAAAGTTAGCCGTCACATGTAGCTCATATGTTCCCCTGAGACCACTATCTCCTAGACATACCATCACTTCTCCCTCCATCCCCACCTTTACTACAGTAGTTCAAGTTCCTACGTGGTCCCTTCCTGCTCACCCGGCCCTTCTGTCTCGCATCTTGCCTTATTTTATCTGGTCTTCTCAAAGACTGCTCATGACACTGGCTGTGCCATTTGCTTGCTTCCCTAACACTGGCAGGATTCTTCATTTGGATCTGGGCCCTGCTATACTCCTGTCTTCTGCTCTGCTCAACTACCTAGCATGCTTCAGTCAACTGGATAGCTTGGGTCCTCTCAATCCATCCTCATTTTGCCTGGTTAAATCCTAGTCAGCGTTCAGATCTAAAAACAGATGCTATCAGACTCTGCCTGAGGCAGGTGCCAAACTCGGAAGGCCCCAGCTGCCTCTCTCCATGGTGTCTTCTTGGCTAGGCCCATGCTCTCCACCTCTGGGAGCTCATCCCTGGGGCTAGTAGAACCAGGTAAAGGGAGGGTGATTAATGGTGCTAGGGTGAGTACTCATCTCCTTACTATGTGACTGCTTGCATACTTTGAGCTCCTCTAGGGCATGTTCCTAGCTCTTCCCTCTCTTTGCAGCATCTTATCTGGCATTCACAAATTTTACTGAAGCCAGGTGAGGGATTCCTGATTGCCAAGGTGTGAGCCCCACCCTTCCTCACTTTTCTATTCTCTGTCAACAAGAATATTTGCTCCTCATGTACAGTGTATCAGCATGGCTGGTGCATCTGTACTGGACGGCAGAGACCAGTCTGACAGGTCAAAGCTTGTGGGAGTCAGCACAGACCCTCTGTCTTCCTGCAGTCTGGTAGGGAGGTATCTTTGGGCTCCAGGCATGAACACTTAGAAGAGTGAAACTTGAGGGCGCCTTCCTTTGGACCCGCACTTTGTACGAAGTGGGAGGAGGGTGTGTGAGCAGGCTGGGCGGTGCAGAAGGGCGCGGGTGCTTAGTAGTGGCTTGGCCTGGGAGGCGCCGCCGGCCGCCCTTCCCCGCCCTCGGCCGCTCCCTCCCTCCCGCTACTAAAACCAACGCGCACTGCCTAGCCGCTCACTTCGCTACCGCCTCCGCGCCTGCTTTCGTCGTGGGTCGGCGCGTGTTCCTGCTCCATGGCGCTCCTCGTGCAGTTGCTGACCCTGACTCTGGCACTGGCTCTGGGCCCCACCGCGACCCTGGCAGGCCCCGCCAAGTCGCCCTACCAGCAGGTTCTGCAGCACAGTCGGCTCCGGGGTCGCCAACACGGGTAAGCCCCAGCGGTTCCGTGGTGGGCGGTGCAAGGACAGGTCTCTGAGCTGCCAATGCACTCCGCTGGGGACATCATCATAGAATTGCAGGGGACAAAGCCCGAAGGAAAGGCAGCCAGAACACAGAGAGACTAGCCCTGCGTGGAGGGAGGGACTGTGGGAGTATGAGATGCGGGGACCTAGTGGAATGCTTTGTGGCAAAAGGGTTGGGGACACTGACCAGTGACCACAGACTCAGACCAAAGTGCATGAGACATCCTAGGGGACTTTCAGTCTCCTCTCCTAACTCTAGGTAGAAGGGGGCGTTGGCAGCTCTCAGGACAGAATCACCATCACCCTGAGAAGGTGTCCTCTGCAGAGGGGAAGCCAGCCAGGTCACTGTCCAGTGATTCCAGGTGTGAGACTGGTCACACCAGGTAGCAGGACCCTAGATGCCCACAGCTCCTATGCACCTGGCATTGCTCTGCACCCAGACACTCATCCCCAGACAGTGCTTTCTGGCCACAAGAGCAGTGTGGCACCTGGTAAAAGAAGAGCAGGAAAATCCACTACCCTTTATACGTGCTAGACACATTGGGAAACCAAGACCTGAGATGTACCAGCCTGTCATGCAGAATGTGCTGGAGCCAGGATTGGAATCTGTCTTAAAGCCATGGTCAACTTTGTCAATGCGAATCATTAGTGCTTCAGATATTCCTCTGGGCACTGCAGATGTGTGGACTTTAGGAGACACACTCTGGCCAAGGGTATGCCCCGATGAAGAGCATGGCACGGGCACAGTCTGCACAGTACTCCTACACACAACCAGGCCAGGCCTGCTTCAGACATAGCCCGGCACTTCAGTCTACCTGGCTGCACCAACATCGTTTCTACTCGGGAAAATTCTGTGGACAGAGTGGAGTAATGACTTCAGGAGTGGTCCAGATGCCCCACACCCCCAGGCTGTGCCCAACTCTCCGAGACTAGACAAATCTGTACTCAGATTTAAAAAAAAAGAAGAGGAAATCCATGTGGCTAGTGAGGGTTGGCTCTTAGGCCCAGACAAAACTGCAGCCCCCAGCACTGGGCATGTCCTGAACTTGGGTAAAGGCTGCACTTTTAGGGAGCAGTCACTCTTCTTCTGCATGTGGCTTTCAGGTCTCTTATAGCCTCCCAGGTCTCAGGGTTTGTGGGGAAGCAAGCCACGGGTGCAGGACTGACCACTACACAGAACCGAGCCACAGCCTCACACCCTCCAGAAAGGAAGGAGGCAGTGCAGAGGTCCTGGGGTCACTTGCTACTTAGGCTGTGTGCATGAAAGGTTGAGGGGACAGCTCAGAAAAACGCAGATTTGAAGCCTCAAAGCCAAGCAATGACAACTGGAGCTTCATCCCTGCCTGGTTCACCTTTGGCCCAGCTGCCTCTCTTGCAGGATGCCTTCAGGTTCGAGGGTTCTGTCTCTCCCTCCTCTTAACCACTAAGATGAGCTCCACATCGCACACACGCTGCAGCATTGTCACCCAGAGCAGCAATGCCACCCACAGCCACGGTGAAGTCTCCAAAGACACCGCATACGGTCTCTTGCTGAAGCCACCCTCCTTCCCTTCAGAGCCCAGAATACCAATTGTCAAGAAAACTTGAGCATTTAAAAACCGATGTGGGCCAGGGAGGTAGCTCAGCTAAGGCACTTGCTGCCAAGCCTGCCGACCCACAAGGAATGAGAAAACCAGCCTCCCTCCCAAGAGTTGTCTGCTGACCCCCACACACTCACTGTGGCGTGTGCTTCCCATCCAGATACAAAATGAGGAAATGATTTAGACCAGCTTCTCTGATGTATCCCCTGTGCTTCTTGCACTGAGTTGGAAACTTATAGTAATTTGTGACAGGCTGAGTGATCGAGAGATGATGTGTGCTGAGCAGGGTGATGCATTATTTTAAAGCCAGCTACTCCTGAGCCTGGGGCAAGAGGTGGGCAATTTAGGGAGACCCTATCTCAAAATAAATATAAGGAAGACCACATCTGCACCCCTCCCCAAGGGAAATCCGGATGCCCAGGCACACAAACCACAGCCAATGATTTCGGGCATAGTTGCATTTATTCTGATCTAACTGTCCCTAAAAAACCACGGGACTGCCTGGCCTTGCACACATGGGTGTGGCCCCCTGTGCAGATGGATAACCTTGTTCCAGTTCCAGCCCTTTATTCAAAGTGAGAGCTGAAAAAAAAAGGGAAGTTTAAAGAAGTGCGGGGTGTCCCACGAGGGGGAGAGAGGACAGTGTGCCTAGCCGCTAGGCAGCAGTGCACAGCCACCTATCCCCAGATGCATTCACCTCCCCACATCCTGCCCCCAGCACTCTGGGGGAAGGCAACCTGTGCTTGGGATGCCAGTCCAGAAAGCTGGTGGGGGGGGGGGGCTGCTGGGTGCTCTCCTGGCTCCCAGCTGCATCTGTGTTACTGTTGCATCGGCATGCTAATGCGAAAGAAGTGAGAACAACGCAGCTGCACATTTGAACAGCATCAACAGAAACTGGACGGAAGTTCTGGAAGCCCTTGGTTTTCAGATGCAAGTCGAACAGCGGGGCTGCTGGTCCTAGGGCAGAGAAGCCTGGAAATGGCCTGCTCGTTTTGATTACATTTCAGTATGGATTTCCCGTGGACACAGCTTATCCCCCACCCCCAGCTTCTGCTCCTGTGACAGGGCAGGAGCAGTGCAAATTCACTCTGCAGAGGAGAGGAATGCTGGAGCCAAATCCACAGAGACTCACTGACGAGCGGCTGGCCGCCCATGGTGAGCTGCAGGGAATTCATCCACAGTAATTATTTCCTGCTCAGTTGGACAAGAGAACTGGGGTTGTACAGTGGGAAGGATGATCTGGGGCTGGAGTGTGGCCTGTGGAAGCTCTTCAGGGGTTATTCAAGGACCGTGAAACACGTGGATCACTGACTACAGAGTCTCTAAGCACCGGTGAGACCCAACTAAGGTGGGCTGACCCAGCCTTTACCTGTGGTCACCTGTCAACCTGGACTTTTCACTGTCACTTTCCTAATATCACGGCTGCTCTGCTCACTTACTGTTGTCTATTGAACAAAAGAACAAAAATGTCCTCTTCATACGGAGAAGAAATGGGGAGGAGAAATAAGGGGTCAGAGCGAACAGCTATCCAATCATCCAGCTGTGGACACTGTCCAAATAATGACATGGTAGCCACAGATCCCCTCAAATACTGTGCTCTGTGGATCACAGTTAGGTAGTTAGTTATAGTTAATTAGTTAATTGAAACAGAGTCCGGATTGCCCTCAAACTCACTGGGTAGCCCAGGCTCACCTTGAACTCAGAGCAATCCTCCTGCCTTCTCATTGCATTCTTAAGGTGTTGAGAGTTGCTATTGAAGAAACTGCCTGCATCTGAATGCACCTGAAGCTGTGAGAACATGGAAATCTTGTGAACAACCTCAGTCTGTTTTCTTTGATTTTTCTGACTTGCAGTTTAGTCAGATGGCTACTGCCTGCTCAGAAACTTGCCTTTGTGATCACACATGGCAGCTCCCTTGCCCCGGAGCTCCAAAGAAGATGCCACCATCAACTTGGCCTGAACACCACTCTGGTTGCTCAGGAGAAGAAAATGTTCAAATAGCATTCTCCAGAACACCAAAGGCTCCAGAAGGCTCCAGAGAAGCCTTCTCAGCAGAAACCCAGGGAGTTTGTTTTTCCACAATTATTGGAGATCTTTTAAAACTAAATTGTTATACATTGTTTCCAACGAGCCTATTCCCCCACTGACTCTAACCAGACCGAGAACTCTTGTCTTTACGGTTCTTTTGAGGGTAGTTGGAGAGAGGTAACATCCATGATGCATCAGTCACAGAGTCTCTTTGATACCCAGCACAAAATAAAGCCAGCACCCCAGGTTAGAGTCTGGAAAGGAAAGTGTTGTCCAGGAGTTTCCTGGGGGATGTGTGGGGGGGTGTGGCTCTGAGCAATGGGTAATGGAGGGTTAAGTGGGAGAGCACTCCCTGTCAGTCCTGACAGCAGCTGGCCACGCACCCTGGTTTACAGGGTGGATACTCCCAGTGTGTTGTCCCAGGAGCCAGGCAGCTGGTCTAGACACGCAGAGCATGTCTGTTTATGGAGCTAGCTGAGAAGTGCTGGAAGCCTCTTGACAACAGGACCTGTGATGCACCCTGGGATGCCAAGTCTGTGCTTAGGGCAGGTACAGATAGAGAGGAAGGCCGGCACAGCTCAGCAATGTCGCTTGGGTTTTGCTCGTTTTCTCAGTCTGTAACAGGTAACCTAGACTTTAAGGTGCTTTACACTTAATATTTGCCTGTGCCAGAGAAGGATGCTTAGTGTGTAAGACAGACTTGAGGGATTTATTTGAGGAGAAGACTTTTATGGAAAAGAAAGATGTACATAGACCGTGCCAGAGTTTACCCCAAACCACCAAAACGGCTGTCTCTCCTCTCTCTAGACAGCGCTGCTAGCCCTAGGAGGTTCACATGATGGGACGGACCTCAGTGTGGGCTGGCTTACGACCATCTCACTAACACTGTTGCTTTTGATTCCAGTCCCAATGTATGCGCTGTACAGAAGGTCATTGGAACCAACAAGAAATACTTCACCAACTGCAAGCAGTGGTACCAGAGGAAGATCTGCGGCAAGTCCACGTGAGTATCTGTAGCCTCCCAAGACCACCACCTGCCAAGGAGACCACAATGTGTATGTGTGTGTGTGTGTGTGTGTGTGTGTGTGAGAGAGAGAGAGAGAGAGAGAGAGAGAGAGAGCCAGCCACCAAGGAGGCTACACTGTGTGTATGTAAGTCAGCTGCCAAGGAGGCCACACTCTGTGTGTTGTGTGTGTGTGTGTGTGTGTGTGTGTGTGTGTGTGTGTGTGTGTTTCAGTCTTCACTAAATGATACAACTATTCAGAGGAGAAGCTATGTGACTCTGGAAATGAAAAGCTGTTGGTGAACTTACCCCAAAGGTCAGCCTTGCTCAGCAAGTGCCAAGGTAAACACTTCAGAAAGTCTCAGTGTGCCTAGAAGTCCGAACACCAGGGAGCAGCGCAGCAGATTAAGACTCAGGCTCTGCCGCTTACTTGGGGAGGGTTCGTCTTTTGCGTCCTCAGTTGCCTCCTGGGCAAAATGGACACAGCAGAAGGAGGGTTGAACTGAGCAATATACGTAAGAGGACGATATGGTACCGGGCACGTCCTAACTACAAAGCCCAGAATATGCAAATGGAGCTCACACACACAGAAGGAAGGGCGCACCCACAGAGTGTGATGGTCACAGTAGGCCTTGTGGGTGCCTCTCTTCATGGAGGGAGGTAGCCTTTGCCCTCACTGCCCGGCTGCCTGGGGGAAGCAGTTGAATGCATGTTCTAACAGAACTCTGGGGAAACCTAATCAGCTTTGGCACTGACAATCAGTGGACCTCAGAACTGACTCTCGCAGAAGAGAAGATGTGCCGTACAAAAGCGCTTGAGCTATGTGGGGGCCTGACTTTCCTCTTTCCAGCAAAACTGGAAGATTTCCCTGAACTTGCCCCAGTGTGAGAGAGTTTTAAAATGTCTTCCTTATGCTATCACTTTCAAGCAACTGTCTCCAGCTGAGAGGGGGAAAAATGTTGTTCCCTTAACATGTTCGTTGAAATGAACACCGCGGTGTGTGGCTCAGATTACCTTCAGCAGTTGTTGATGCTGGTTTCATAGGGCAGGAGTGAGACCAGCAGCTCTCTGGGAGCCTCTGAACAGTCCATGGCCGATGGACAGCCCAGTCTGTGAGCACGGTGGAAGCTGGGACCCCTCTCAGATCCAGTGAACAGATGCTCAGCAGAAATTCGTGCTGTTTATAACAAAAAGAGATTATGCAAATTCTATAAGGAACATCCTTGAAGGACACGCAAGTTTTAAAAACCAATTCCCTCCAGTACTGATAGATACATACATGATCTACTCAAACTTTAATTGCTTAATTAAATGTGAAGTCAGAATTGCTTCTCAGAAGGTGGCCAGCATGCTGGTGCCAAGTGGCAGATCTTCATGTCAGAGCCTCGGGTTTTACAGGGCACCTGTGGCAAGCTGGCCACAGGGTGGCATTTGCCATGCTATGTCAGATGAGCCTGTGTTATGGAATTTGACTGAGGAATTCATGGTGGCTTGATGGCATTCCTTGAGAGTTCCCAGACACATGATGTTGACAGTGAGTTGTATTGGTTTACTGACTTCTACCCATGTCTCTTCTCTGTGTGCCAGGATGAGGCACAAGCCACAGGAGGGTGCTGGCAGACTGTCCTGGGTAGAGTCCTCTCCTCCAACCTGATTTGGTTTTGAGAGCACAGTGAGGTAGTGGGGCAGCCCTCTCACCCCAGTGAGTGTAGGAGGTGGGGGTGGCAGGCACCGGCCACCAGCTCTGGGAAGGGGAAGATGGATGGGGTTGTGGATGGAAGAATGGTGTTTGTAGTGGGGGTCAGTCAAGGTCCAAGGCCATCCAGGCTTTGACCTGGATCACAAAGCTAAGAGGAAAAAATATTCACATCCAACTCCTGAATGTGGTTGGGGCTTTGGGAAGCCTCAAAAAAGAGTAAGTGAACTGAGGAAAACATGGACTGATAAAAAAACTTTATGATCCCAGATGGAACATCACGTGCGGCCTTGGCCTCAGGAGATGGAGCTGCCTTGGAAGAGACCCAGGAGACAAAGAGGGGAAGAGGGAGAGATGGACCTCATCTCTGTGGTCCTCAAGGACTAAGAGCTTCACAGGAGAGCAGTGTGCATAGGAGGGAGGTCTCCAAGGGAGCTATTTTCTGACCTGATATGGCCACAATTAAGTGCTCGGTGGGGGCTGTACTGGCTGGAGTTAATGCCATCCTGGGAGACTGGGTCCCTAGGGGTGCTTAGTTGATGATGAGTGGGAACTAGAAGTGTGGCACTTGGGACAGAGTACTGTCTTGACAAGCCAGCACCGGTACTGGCATTTTCTCAGCCAGATGTCCAGCGGACTACAGCAGAAGTATGTACTTCTGAGACCAGAAGGCAATTTTGGTCCCGAAAACAGATGATGAGCACCAAGTGTGAGGTAAAGATTTTGCCATGTGAGGTCACCAGAGACATGGAAACAGGCCTAGTGACAGACAAGGAGCCCAGAACCCCTTGTTTGTGCCTGTGAGGCTCTGGGTGCTGTCTTCCAGAGGGTAGGGGGTGGCTCTGCCACACTCAGCGTGGTCCCTGCCACATCAGTGAAGCCACTGAGTCTCCCAACAGTCGCTGTCTGCATTCCCAATGAGAGAAGAATCTGAGACTTTGGTGCTGTGTGTCAAAGCAGCGAACGCTGTCCCACTGATTTACTGTAGGATTTGGTCGGTCAGCAAAGGACTCCTGTTTGGTGGCTTGAGTGGATTCTGCTCCTTAGCAGCTCACTTCAGCCTTTGCTTCAGAGCTGTAGAGCCCCAGAGTGATGCAATAGCTGAACAGACAATAGACCTGTGGCTGACAGACAGTACCTGCTCTGTGATTTCAGGCAACCATAAAAGGATAGGGAATCATAAAAGTTTTATGTGTGGCTCTAGGCTCTAAGAATCTAGACAGAAGCCTCTTATCTGAGGCCAGGGGATGAGGGTCTGCTCAACAGACAGGTTGAAGCTGACATACAGGGATGTCATAGCCGTGGCTGGAGCTACAGCATCCTGAAGTGATACAGAGGGCCACTGTGGAAGCCAGCAGGTGGGGGTGGCAGCAGTCCATCCCAAAGTCTTCAAATTGCCCCCCTGGCAGACAGCATGGCTCACAGGTGAGAAGCCATTTTCTGGAGCCAAGAGGAACTGACAGAACACTCCTGTTTCTCCAGCTCCTGGTGTTACTCTGCCCTTCAGCTACATAACGTAGTTCCTCAGCATTAGCAGAAATCGGACATGTCCTGAAGCCATCGGGGACATGGTGGCACTTTCCTGTCAGCTGGAAGGTCTACTTCTAGTAGATGTCATTCTGGCACAAAGAAGCCCTCCTTTTCTCCCTCCCATATATCCCTTCACCTGGTTCCAAGAGGGAAAGTGGTGGTCAGAAGCAGGCCGCACTGTCCCCAGACCACGCCTGTGCGTATTTCCTGTCCCCATCCATAACTTGCTCTAAGATAACAGAGACTGAGCATACTCCAAATGCCCCATGAGGCAATGCTTTCTAAAAATTCTAGATCTAGACCATTCTGTAAACTAGTAGTCTGCTTAGCTGGTGTGGAATTTTGTTCTGTTGAGAATTTTCATGAGCCCATGTACTATGTGGGGAAATGGTCCCCCTAAAGATGCCCACATCCTAATCTGAAACCTGTAAATACGTTCCTTTACATGGAAAAAGGGACTTCACAGACATGACTGGGGTGTCCACCTTCGGTGGATCTGATGGGATCATAGGGGTCTTTGTAAAGGTGAGGTGAAAGAGAGTCAGAGAAAGGGGCGTGCTGAAATCCACATCTAGAGCAATGTCACCAAAGGCTGAGCAAGTCAGCAGCCTCCAGAAGCTGAAGGGCAGAGAGGGGAGCATCCTGGCAGCTTCTAAAAGGAAGATGGCCTTTGATTTTAGACACATGAGGCCGATTTCTGACCCTAACCTTCAGAATTGTAACACAATAAGTTTGTAGGATTTTAAGCCACTGAGTTTTAGGTAATTTATCACAGCAAGGTATCAGAAACTAATAACAACCCTTGCTGCTGTGTTTATAGCCCTCAGGATGTGATTTGATCATCTGGCTTTATGGAGGGCTTTACTTTCAATGAAGTTGTGTTTGTTATGTTAGATTATAACTGAGCTTCTATTTTAACAGTTCTGTGAGGGCGTTTTTATTTTCATCAGCTTTAGAAGCTCCACACTGAGCACTCAGAACACACCACTGCACTGAAATAGTTCCTGTATGTTTGCCCATTCCGTTCCCATAGTCATTCTCTGACCAAGTAGTGGGGGATTATTGAGAGAGAGAGAGAGAGAGAGAGAGAGAGAGAGAGAGAGAGAGAGAGAGAGGGAAGAGAAGAGAAGAAAAGAAAAGAAAAAAAACAAAAAGAGCCCATTTGCAGATGAGAATACTGAGGCTCCAGAAGCCTGCACAACCTACTGAGAGTCATACACTGAGAAATGGGGAGGTCTGGCCACTTTGTGCCATCCCCTGGAGAAGCAAGCCTGGCAGCTAGGGTCAGCAATGCCACAGGTATCCAAGGGAGCAGGCTAGGGTCTAGGTAGATTGTCCTACGTCTCTTTTTACAGCCCCACATCTGTAGCCAGGGTCCTAGAAACAAGTCCTCTTGGAGTCAGAGATGCCCTTTGGGCCAGAGTCACTGTTACCTCCCAGTGGCTTTCTTCAAGTATCATGGTCATTAGGATGACTGACATGAAACTGAGAACCAGAACTTCTCAACAGACAACGAGTGTGGGATCTGGGGACACAGTCAGCATCCAACAGCCACCCAAATGCACTCCCATCCATATGGGAAATGCCATAAACCTCACAACGCACTAGGCTCTGAAAGTTTCTGTGGCAGAGGCCTTCACTGGGGCACAGTTGGTTAGGAAAAACCCAATTTTCTACTGGAAACTTCAAGAATCAGCTTAGCCTCTGTCCAAGGAATGGCATGCAGAAAATGAGTCGCTCCAGGCTGGCAGTCAATGGGGCATGCCAATATCTAGATGCCGTGAGTGTGTGTTTGCTCTACGGTTCATCTCAGGCAGAGTGACGCCATGAGTGTTCCCTATCACAGGAGACTTTGCTCGGTCTCCATTCCTTACTCCGTCTTCTCCCTGAGTGTGGTCAGTCTCCTGCCTCTTACAGCTAGGACAGCAGGAGACCCATGCTGCACATTTTGGGGAGTGAATGTTCTAAGCTTGTATTAGCTCAGTGGAAAATAAATTTGGGGAGAAATTAGTGAGACTCTACCCATCCAATCCAAGAGAAAACCCTAGATAGGCATGGGAAAGGGCACCGTCTTGTGTATTATGGCAGCCTTTAATCAGAATCTTGCTGACGAGACAAGATGCAGAAACCAGTAGCCTGGTCCTTCCTGTGAAGGGACATGTGGGAACTGGGGATATGCAAGGAGAGGCATCCATAGTTTCCATCCATTTCTGCTGGGTCTAGAGAGGTGTTATCAGACTTAAGTTCTATTCTTACAAAGTCTGTATATTCTCCAGGGGGAGCCTATGTAGAATGGAGCAGGGCACAGAGAGGGTAGGAGAGTTCACTGTGGAGACTGCCAGCTCAAAAGGTCCTGGTCAAGAATGTGCCAGTCAGCTGCTTTCTCTGTCTGCAGTCCCAGTTGTCCCTGCTACCCTGGGCCAGAGCTGGCTGGTTCTGAAAAGGGCTTATATTGTCTAGCTAGGAGCATGGAACCTGCCAACTGCAGAGCCTTCTCAGCACAGAAGGCTGATGTCCTCAAATGAGAGTATGGCCTAGAGCTGTACTCCCAGAGAGATACCTAGAATGGCTGCCGTGAGCCCAGGAAGGAGAGTCTCCAGGGCAAGAGGATTGGAAAAGGCTTCACAGAGGGCTGTGCTTGGTTACAGCCTTTGTCTGGAGAAGGATTCACAGCCTTAGAGACTGAACCTCTGCTGTGAGGACTGTGGCACAGAAGCCATGCCCATGTGAAAGCAGGGCACTGTCCAGCCCTGTGAGGGCAGGGGCAGCGAGCCCACCAGAAAGGCCTTGCCTTCAGCACTCCGGATACCGCACCAAATCCGTCTGCTCCCTCCAAATGTGCACTTGGTCAAGAGCAGTGGTCAAAGAGCTAGCTTTGCTAAAACGGGGGAAGCCTAGGGATCCCCCATGTGTCTAGGCTCTCAAGGACCACTTGGCCCATCCCACCCCACAGTTTGCTTTCTGACTATCCTAAGTTGTCTGTCCTTCTGAGACTGTTCTGCCTAGGTTGTCCCTTCCTCGTCAGCCTCTCAACTTTCCACTTCTCCCCCATGTCACTCTCTACCCTCTTGTACATACATGTACACACAGGTACACACATACACATACACTTTGAGGACTTTATTTTCTTTTATCTTCATTGAAATCCTGGTGAGGCCACCCAAAATGTTCAGCTGTCCTTTGGTTTGGGGGAGGGGGACTAGAACTCAGAAAGCTAACATTTGGTGAATAGAGACTGTGGGCGCTCCAAGCCATGGAACATGAAACAGCCATGTTCACCAAGGGGACCCAGAGAGCACTTTGTGGATAGGATAGTTTTTCCCAAATGCTTCTTCTCTAATTCCGTGGAATTCCACATCGGCACTTTGGGAGAATAGCTGAATCGAGGCGATGGCTTTATCTGATTCCACCTCCCCAACTCCAGTCATAGAACCCTGGTGTTATTTCTGCATATTTCTGCATTTATTTATTCTAGTTATTGTGTGTGTGTGTGTGTGTGTGTGTGTGTGTGTGTGTGTGTGTGTGTGTGTGTGTGTGTACTCATGCAGAGGTCAGAGGACAGCCCAGGGGCATCGGTTCTCTCCTCCATGTAGGGCTGAGGATCGAACTCAGGCTATCAAGCTTGACAGCATGTGCCTGCTGAGCCGTCTTGCCATCCAGCCTTGGAATTTATCAGAGAAAGATCCTGTGTGCGTGCGTGCGTGCGTGCGTGCGTGCGTGCGTGCGTCGGGGTACGGGGTCCTGATGCTGTAGGCTTAAAGCTTGGGGATCTCCCTGGATCGTAAAGCAGCTGCTTTAATTATGCTGCCCTCTGTGGTTCAGAAAATAGAGGCCACAGAGAGAAGTGGGTTCCCAAGGTTACCCCCCTAGTCATGGAGGGATCCTAAGGTGAGCCTCCTCATCCAGGACGGCTTCTCCTACACCACTCTGCCTTGGCAAGTTCTTCAGCAGCAGAGATGACACACATTCAGAAGCTAGCATTGTGGGTTGGTCAGTGTCAGCCCTGATGTCTGTCTAGTTCTTTAAGTACAGGGATTCAAGGTGAGAAGGGAGAGATGGGAGGTGTGCTGCAGAGCAGGATGCCAGAGGGTGGAGAGAGCAGGACACGGACTAATGTGTAGCCTGTTGTTCCTCTGTCTAGGGGGTGGCGTCTGTCTAGCCAAGTGACACCTGTAGCTCCCTGGCGGTCTGAGAACCTGAAACCTCCCCTGGGTGACAGATGACCATGCTTCATCCTCACTTAACTGAGTCTTTCCTGAACTGATTCCAAATGAATTCACAGGAGTCAGCAGTCTCCTCAGCCCCTCCCCCCGCCCCCGCAGCACCACATCTCTTCCCGCCTGCCTGCCTCCTTTCTGGTGATGTCATCCCTGAACGAACAAGACTGGCAAATCTCTAAGATACAAGAAAGAGGGGCAACCTGGATTGTTTGCATTTGGCTCCAGGCCTTGGGGGAGGGGGAGGGGAGGAGGGGGCTGCACATCTGTGGGCAGCCGTGAGCACAGGGCTTCAGGCTCCTTTAGCTGCGATGTTATTTGAAACTCTCTCAGCTTTGTGGCTTCCTCAGAGTATCGGGGTGGCTGAAGCACGTTTTGTGAAGTCCAGACAGCAGCCAGCATCCCACAATGGGCTCCTTGGAAGGAGAGAGCAGACAGGCTTTAGTTTTCTGAAGAAATGATTGTTAAGTGCCCTGCATGTCTTGTGTCATCCAAATGCAGAGGATCTTGCAAATTGGTGCTATTGGGGCCTCTGGAAAGACAATGGCGAGGTTGAAGGTGAGGGTAGGTGGGGAGTAATTTATAAATAATCATTAAGATACTTTAAATTTGAAACTGTAAATATGTTTTTAATAAGTTTTTTTAATGTAAATAAATAGCAAAACAAGTGCCTTCATGAAGAGGCACTCTATTTTCATTTGAAAGTAAAAACCAAGAGAACACAATGATCACCCATACTCTGCCTTTTGGGTTATTAAATCAAGTTCTAGAATAGCAGAAGAGAGACAGAAACCACAGCCCCTCCACCCTCCACACATCCATTTTGCATGTGTATTGAGACCCAGAGAAGAGGTGGGACCATAGGGGTGAGGTAGGTTCAGAGCTAGAACCCACACAGGGCTCTCTAGTCCCCCCAGCTCCTTCCCCAGAACACCATCCATCCCGTTTCCTGTGCATGGTTGTTGGAGGTCACTGCTGGGTGAGTTATGTTTCTGATTGGGTTATTGAGTGTGCCGCCTTCACCTGGTTTCCCAGTCAGTTGACTGCTGGTGCTGGTAACCATCAGAAACATTTTACAAGGCTGAAGTGAGGTGCTCCTGGCCACTGATCAGGACAGTCATGATAGAGCACACGCTGTCCTAAGGGTGCTGTGCCTGCCGCCTGTTTTCTGTCGTCCCCGTGACATTTCTGCCCTGAGGACATCTGGGAGGAAGAGTGATGTGCTGAGGGACATATGCCTGTATCTCTCTTTCAGAGTCATCAGTTATGAGTGCTGTCCTGGATATGAGAAGGTCCCAGGAGAGAAAGGCTGTCCAGCAGGTGAGTGAGCCAGGCCCTGCCTGTGGGTGGATGGGACGGAAGGGCAAGAGGAAGAATTTTCCTGCAAAAGGCAGCAGAATCACAGCAGAGTCGGGGGCATAAGGATGAGTTGTCCCTCCCATGTGCTCACTGAGCCATGAGGTGCAGAGGATGGGAGATGAAAACAGTACCTCTCCTGACCCTCACCAAGCAGGTGGAGAAAAGTCCACTCCACTCTGTCTAGCCTCTTCCCAGTGGCTGCAGGCTCTGACCTTGCCTTCAGTCGCCGGCAGTGATCCTCGGAGCATCTAATAAGGGTGACCTGTTAGCCCTTCAGGTGCTCATTAGCCCTGCTGGAGATCAGCCAGGATAACAGGTCTCTGGCCTCTGGACCAGCAGGAGGAGCACAGCAGACTAGGTGGGCTTACCCATAGGCAACAAAGGGCCCCACAAATGGCCACACTGAGCCAAAGATGGCGTGATACCTGTGAATTATATCAGAACCTTTAGTGCCACAAGGCAATTATGCAGGGTTTGAATTTTGTTTTAGCTTTGAAATTCAAGATAGTTTTTAAATTAAGATATGAACAAAAATTTTAAAAAGAAAGCAATTTGACTTAGTGTCAAGATGATGATGATGAAGTTAGGTGGCTGGTGCCATGGCATTGCTAAGCAAAGCAGAGGGCAGTTGGAGAAATCAAAAGGATTAAGGGTGTTGGCCTATGGGGGGACTTAACTTTGGGGTGGTAGTCTCAGATTATTTAAGGATGAACACTAGTCTGTGTATGTGCACACATCTACTATCCTAACTCTCAGGAAGCTGAGTCAGGAGGATCACTGTGAGCTGAGGGCCAGCCTGGGGCTACACAGTGAGTCTGTCTTAGAAAGTGAACAGACATCCAGCTGCCATCTAAGAGGGCCATTTCCAACTGCAGGCAGTTCCTGAAAAACACACAAATGACCCGGAAGGTTTACACTGCTTTCACACTAGCAAAGCTGTTGGGGAATAAGTGGCAATAGCGAGGGACATCTATAAGACCAGTTGGGAGTTTCCCTCTTGTTTCTACCTGCTTTATCTAAACACATAGGAGCAGAAGCTTTGCTCCGCTGTGCTTAAAACCATTAGAAACTCCCCACTAGGCTGGTCCACACAGGGGGCATTTGGCTCACTGAGTGGTTCTACGAACCATTCAACAGATGCCTGGGCTTTTCTCCGCCCACCTGCCCCTCCCTTTGCTCTGCAGCTGTGCCCACCGTCCCTTCTGACAAAGAAACCGGGTAGGTGTGTATGTAGGATGGGCTCACAGCCGTCCCTCTGTCCTCTGCCTCTGCAGCTCTCCCGCTTTCTAACCTCTATGAGACTCTGGGAGTCGTCGGATCGACCACCACGCAGCTGTACACAGACCGCACGGAAAAGCTGAGGCCTGAGATGGAGGGACCCGGCAGCTTTACCATCTTTGCCCCTAGCAACGAGGCCTGGGCTTCCTTGCCTGCGGTGAGAGCAGCCTCCTGCTCGGGAACCACCTTTCTCCTGAGACCTGGTCACACAGTAGGGTTCTCCTGCTGTGTCAGACACCCTTTCCCTTAACCCCTGAGGGAAAGTTAAAGCGGGGCTCCCCAGGTGCCTTCCAGTGGCCTCATCCGCCCACTGATGCTTACTAAAGGAGGGGCCCTTGGCAGAAGAGGGGTTTGGTCCACTTGGAGCCGGGGCCTCTCCCTTGAGTAGAGGGCTGCTGTCTCTTAACTGTCATGCCCTTTCTTTCTAGGAAGTGCTGGATTCCCTGGTAAGCAACGTCAACATCGAACTGCTCAACGCCCTCCGCTACCATATGGTGGATAGGCGGGTCCTGACCGATGAGCTGAAGCATGGCATGGCCCTCACCTCCATGTACCAGAATTCCAACATCCAGATCCATCACTATCCCAACGGGGTAGGGGCATGCCCAGTTACCCAGCACCAGCACTGTCCTCTGTCCACAGCAAACCCTCCTCTGGCCCACCTGGGGTGTTTCTTTCTTGGGTTCTGTCCTGTGGTGTGATAAACTGTGACAAGCCCTTGCCTCCTGGGTCTTCTCTACAGACCCTCCCCCCTCCCACTCTGCTCCTAGCTGTGGACCCACGGTTTGCCCTTCTTGGAGTTTGCCCTTCCTGGAGTTTGCCCTTCCTGGAGCCTCTTGTGTTACTCACCCTTGCTTCTTCTCCGGGCAGATTGTAACCGTGAACTGTGCCCGGCTGCTGAAAGCTGACCACCATGCAACCAACGGTGTGGTGCATCTCATTGATAAGGTCATTTCCACCATTACCAACAATATTCAGCAGATCATTGAGATTGAAGACACCTTTGAGACCCTTCGGGTAAGGGATTACTTTGAGTAGAGCCCCATGCTGGGGACAGTTGGCTTTCCCAAAGGGGCCTGGCAGGGTGTCTTCTGTAGAAGGACCCAAGGATGTCCCAGATGTGGTTACTTGGAGAAGATCCTAATGAGTACTGGGCTTGACCCACTCCAAGCAATGCCCCTGTTGCAAAGATTTCCTTTCTTTGGTTATTCTGGATAATCCAGTGGTCTGTTACAGTAGTAGACAGAGTCCTCTGAGCCTTAGGGCTGAACTGCAAAATCCAGAAGTATGAGGGCCCTCCTTCCTGATGCTCTTTCCCACACAGGACACTATTACAAATGACTCATCAGCTGGTGTGGTGTTTCTACACCATATGTCCCCAGCCTGGGGCCTCATACCCCTGTCTTCTGGAGCAGAGACCTTGCAGAGAGGCTGCTGGTGTGACTCAGAGTGTAATCTTGATTCCTGAGCCGCCCCTGACTACTCTGGCTGAAGGCATATGTCTAACAACTGGAAAGGCCAGCGGTTTCCTGTTGGCACTGGCCACACAGGCGGAAGTGGGCAGAGGCTGCCATGTCAGGGATTTTGCCTGATTCAAGGAGAACTTCCTAACCACAGAGTACACAGTGGGAGTGGGACAGCCCCTCCCTGGAGATCTCCAATGCAGAGACAAACACACACCAGCATGGGTACAGAGGGGCCTTGGCATTTGGGGAGAGCTCTTGGCTGGCTGAGGGAGGCCCCAGGGAGTCTAGCTCTTTAACGGCTTCTCCCTGCCTCTTCTGGGTCTTCAAGGGACTGTTACCCCAAATTTGACAGCTCAAACTTTCGTTATCAGCACAGAGTCCTATTGAGTAGCTTCCCCTTACTGTTGGGATTGACAGAAAAAAACAGATTTCCTCTTTCTTATTCCTTCAGCCCTCCCTGATACCCATGTGTCCTAGTACATGCTTCTTAAACCCTGTCACTCCCAGGCCTAGGTGCCAGGGGACAGAGTGAACCAAATGGCTACTATTCTTTCTGAGAAGACAGATGAGATGTGAACAAGGCAGGACAGTGTGACGAGCTTGGGGAGAGTCAGCAAGTGAATGATGGGTGGGCAGTGTAGCCCAAGAGGGATGGCCAGGGAAGGCTTCTTTGGAAGAAATGCTTTGAGTGGAGAGGCTGAAAGATGAGAACAGCCCAGGCTACACAGCCCCAATGCAGAAGCAGCGCTGCTGTAGGGAAGCCTGTGGGCTGAGGTTCTCTATCGGAGAGCAGTGAGAAGCAGCGCTGCTGTAGGGAAGCCTGTGGGCTGAGGTTCTCTATCGGAGAGCAGTGAGAAGCAGCGCTGCTGTTAGGACATTGTTCTGGATGCTGTGTAACCCTGAGTCATGGGATCTTTACCCTCCATAATCACTCAGGAGGGATGACTACTAATTGTAGGATTATAGCTGGGAGACATGAGGGTCAGGCTGACTGTCTTCTGAGAACCTGTGCCAAGAGGAATGGCATTTTGGTCAAGGTTTGAAGGAATAGGAGTCCAAGAAGCAAAGAAAGAGAAAGAGAGGTGGAGGGAACTACTGGATAAAGGCGTAGAGGTGGAATGGAGCAAATCCATCAACACCTGAAAAATAGCCAGTGTGGCTGGAGCACAGGCCGGGGCTTGTGGAGTCCATGTTGACATAGGGCTTGTGGAGTCCATGTTGACATAGAACTTCAGCCAGGCTCCTCTCTCACTTGGGACTTCTCTAAGTGTCTTGGGTCCCCAAGAGAGGCATAGCCAGGATGTGTGCATCTTGCCAGGCGGGCCTAGGAAACACTTCTCCCTTCCCCACACAGGCTGCTGTGGCTGCATCAGGACTCAATACCCTGCTGGAGGGTGATGGTCATTACACACTCTTAGCTCCAACCAATGAGGCCTTTGAGAAGATCCCTGCTGAGACCTTGAACCGGATCCTGGGTGACCCAGAGGCCCTGAGAGGTGAGCAGCCTCAGCTCATGTTGCTGCTTCCTTGGAGCAGCCCAATGGAGCCCTGGCCTATGCTAATGCCACAGTTTTAGGATGTCCACGGCAACCCTGGCTTGTGTTCTTCTCCGTGGCCATGTCTCTGTGGAAGTCAAGCAGAGCCAGTTCTGAGGGTCCCCAGCTGACCCTGACTAAATAAAGGCAACAAAACTGGAGTGGCCAAAACTGTCAGGTGGATGGGTGATGTTTACACTGCTTGGAGGAATCGGGTGTGGGTGGTTGGCGGTGGCATCCTTCAACTGGAATCATCTTGGTGACCTTTTATGTCTTTCTATGTCTGGCCAAGGGCTTTATGGGTAACCAAAAAATAATAGTTAGGAATTAGTAATGGTCAGTTGATTTCCATTGCTGGTTCCATCTTTCAGCTCCTAAGTTAGGCGTGGAAGGTAGATTTAGGAGTGGTCCCATTCTTACCTCACCTGACCCCCTTTAATTCTAGGACTTCTGGAGGATCACTAGCACTAAGCTGCCCAGTAAACCTCTAGACCGTGTAAGGTCCACATTCTTCCTCCCAAACGTCACTAGGCATGACTTCATTAACACCTACCTTGGCAGTATACCATGTAAGATGCCTAGTGCTTTACAGGCACCCTGTGCATTTAAACTCTTCAGGCCAGGCACGGGAGGACAGAGACACTTCAGAAAGCACAGATGGGAGCTGTGCCTAGAGGAGTGTTGTCCTTTAAAATACCTGTTGTGGCCTGAGAACTGGTGCTCCGCACTGAGTACAGCCCGAAGTGTGCCTTCAAGGACGTTAAAGTCTGGTAGGCAGAAGGCTTCAAACAAGCTGTTGAGACGGTCTGATGAGTGCAGTGAGGAAGAGCAAAGTGTCCAGGGCTAGGAAGCTTCTGGGAGAGGTGTGGCTGCATCTCTGCACACATGCCTGATAGAACCAGATTACAAAGAGCAAAGGTTTCCTTTGGCTCACAATCTTAGACGTGTTATTTCATGATCACTTGACCCCATGGATTTCAAACCTGTGGCTTTGGAGGTTGGGCACTAAGTGACCTAAAGGCCTCACACTAGCCCTATCTTTTAAAGTTGTCACCACCTCCCAATAGTACCACCCTGGGGGCCAAACCTTTAACATATGGGCCTTTGAGGGGGTCATTCAACATCAAAACTATCACATGCATCAAAAAATCTTTTGTACAGAGGGCATTTTTATAGTCCTTGATATAGGAACTCAATTACAGACCCAAGATATAGAGGCCTTTTGCTTATCTGCTTCTTCTGTGCAACAACCAGTTTGCTCAAATCAGGGGCCCGCCCTCTGCTCCTATAGCTACAGACTTGAAGGCAGAGGGTTGGGGTCTGCATCAACAGTGCCCTGTTTTGTCTCTAGGTGCTTGACAGACAGGCAGGAAGCAGCCCTGGGCTGGCATATTTTGTTTGAAGCCTGACTTCTGGTCCTGCTCTTCTCACACCCGTGTGGCCCCTACTCCACCCCAGGACTTCAGTTTACTTCTCTAAGAAGCATGGTCCCCCAAAGGCCTCATTCCTGTGGTGTCTTGTTGTTGTTTTAAGACAGGGCTCACTGTGCAGCCTAGGCTAGCCTCAGATTCAAGGCAGTCTTACTTCTGAGTGCTGGGATTATAAGCATACCACCTTGCTTGGCCTGGCACAGATTTGTCCCTTCTCTACTGACTGAGTTGGGTCAGTACTGGTTCTCAGAGTCTGTTTCCAAAATTCTGGTGCCTCTGTCAGCCTCAGAGCTTCCTCCTAACTGTGAGAGGGCAGTTTTGGTTCCCACACTCAAAGATAAACTGAAACTCCCCTCTGTGGTGAAACTGAGACAAAGGACCTTGGTGACACTGGAGAGCAGCATCTGGGAACCTGTGGACTTGGGGAGAGGGCAGGGCATGTCCTGACTGGTCCCTGCTGCTCACTCTGCACAGGGATCCTAAATGACCCTGAGAATCTGTTAGAGGTGTGAGTGTGGAGGCTTCACCTTATGACTGCCCCAACACATGCCTCCAAAGTAGCGCCTAGACATATGAGTGAGCAATGGTTGCACCATCCTCTACGACAGATCCTGGCCACCAGTAGACCTTGGGGTAAGATGAACATAAGCCAGAAAACAAGACATACAAGTGATTCACAGCTCTCCTTTGGGGCAGTTTTCATCATTTCCTGCCTCATTCTTACTAATGTCTTATAAAGGCCTAAGACATAAAAGACCCATGGTGGGCCTGGTGGAGGTTTCCCCTTCTCCCTGGCCGTTAGGAGAATTCACCCTGAAGCCCAGTGCTCGTGAGCTAATGGTTGGTGTTTCTTTGTCACAGAGAGGCTTGCATTTCAGATCTAAGAGACAATGCCAATCTCATCTGTTTACTCATAAGGAAGATGAGACTCAAGGGACTCAAGGAGGCTAAGTGGCTGGCCCAGGATCAGCAGCCAGGGGATTCAAACTCAGGCAGTCTGACCACAGAGTCCCAATGGTTTTAGACAGTGGTAGGCAAGAGATGAGGATGTGGTCCCTGTGGTACCCCAGCAAAGTCCTCAGCCACAGGCAGACTGGGAGTCGGCCCCTACAGACAGGCCATGGCAGGCCCTAGACCTGTGTCCTGTTCTGCCACAGACCTGCTAAACAACCACATCCTGAAGTCAGCCTTGTGTGCCGAGGCCATTGTCGCTGGAGTGTCCATGGAAACCCTAGAGGGCACCACACTGGAGGTGGGCTGCAGTGGAGACATGCTCACCATCAATGGGAAGGCTGTCATCTCCAACAAAGATGTCATGGCCACCAACGGTGTTATCCATTTCATTGATGAGCTGCTCATCCCAGATTCTGGTAAGTGAGCCTCAGGGGCCTCTGTCCTACCCAGCTTCCTCCCACTTCAGACACCCCTGGTGGCAGGGCCAGGGGTATCCAGCAATCTTTTGGTCCATTCCCTGCCCTTGGTACAGTACACAGCCCTGTACCTACCATGAACCTAAGGTCTATGGGAAATGTGATCCAGACACTGTCCTGAGGCAACCAGGAACATTTTAGGGTATCTGGGGAAGGAATGAGACACCATCCTAGAGCTCTTTCTGGTTTGCATCCTGTGGTTGGGCCCAAAAGGCCATTTGCTAATGTCGTAGCATTTTCTCTCCTTAGAGAAGCCAAGGCCACTGACTAAGGGAAGAAGGCTGGATGGACTTTTGATTGCCATTCAGAAAGGAAGCCAGTCTCTTCCTATGGGAGTATCTTCAGGAGTGGCCACACAGGCCACGCTGCCTCTTCTCCACAGTCAAACAGGCCCGGGCCAAGCCAGTCCCAAGCCTGGGACTGTGCTGCCTGCTACCAAGCGACTGTGGTTCCTGCCAATGTCCTTTCTGTCTAGGGTGGACCGTGACATATACACATGGCCCTGTTACCTTTTGAACTCCATTTCTCCTTCTTGTAGCCAAGACACTTCTTGAGCTGGCTGCAGAATCTGACGTGTCCACAGCCATTGACCTCCTCAGACAAGCTGGCCTCAGCTCACATATCTCTGGAAAAGAGCACTTGACCTTCCTGGCCCCGCTGAATTCTGTGTTCAAAGGTAACATGGGGAACACATTCTGCTGTTCTGTTGTCTCTGGGACAGCTGTCACATCCCTACAGCACTTGCCCTGATTTACAACGGCCTTGGAACCTTCTGCCCACCATAGTCCAAAGCAGATGTGACTCTATCAGAAACTTTGGACTACCCATTGTTTATCTGGAACTGCCAAAAATGTACCGGGAATCTTTTCCTCAGTACTCAGTATTTCGCATCTGCCGGGAGAATGGAGCAGGCTTCGGCTTTTCGTTTGCAGGGTCAACACCAGTGTATAAGGGCAGAGGTCAGCTGAGCTGCCACCATGGGGATGGCAAGAAAGACCCTCTCCTCCCCTTGAAGGCAAAAGTACAAACACCCTCAACATCTACAGTTACTTTTTTCTATAATAGATGCCAAATATTAAGGAATTTTGGCAGCCACCCTTCCCCTCTGGGGGATGGGTTTTCTGCTCTGTGTGTCTCATCGTCCACTCCATCTCAGGAGCCTGACTCCCGGGATCTGTCCACCCCTTCGCTTGCAGATGGTGCCCCTCACATTGATGCCCAAATGAAGACATTGCTTCTGAACCATATGGTCAAAGAGCAACTGGCTTCCAAGTATTTGTACCATGGACAGACACTGGACACCCTGGGTGGCAAAAAACTGCGAGTTTTTGTTTATCGAAACGTAAGTTCTAGGTCCTAACTCACGCCCCTTCTTTGGCTTTAGCCCTACAAAATGTTTTTTTTTCTTTCTTTCTTTCTTCTTTTTAAGTCTTCAATAGCCAGGGGCTTACGTAAGAACTGGCTTCTAGTAAAGGGGAAGCAGTTTCTGGGAAGGCCCTGATGCTAGATGACACTTCCTTTCCTTCAGGCTTGGAGAGTAAGGCTCCAACCTTAACTGAATTGCTGAGCACTGGGGCTACTGGAGACCCAGCAAGATGGACAGACGGGGGGAGAGCATGGAGACTTTGGGTCCTCCCGGGCCTCTGTGAAGAGAAGCCCCATGAAGCTCAGCCCTCTTTGATCCAAGACCGTCCCATATCAGACAGGAAAGAGCATGGATTGCTCCTGGTCTGGGACCAAACAGGACTGTTTAGCCAAAGATATCCAGTGACTGGTGAAATGAACCAGGCATGAAATCGTCTCCGGTTAAATCAACAGTGAACTACCTCTAGTCCGTCTGTCAATCTTTGTCTTGTGAGACTGATCTTGTCATGGAGTCCTTGTGTGATTTTATCAGAACCGCTATGCCCACCCTTCCTTGAGAAACAGTTCTGCGGGTGATGTCACTGGAGGCCCCTGCCAGAGAGGACAACCACCTCCCTTTCTCCCTCCATTCTGTGCAGAGCCTCTGCATTGAAAACAGCTGCATTGCTGCCCATGACAAGAGGGGACGCTATGGGACCCTGTTCACCATGGACCGGATGCTGACCCCCCCAATGGGGACCGTTATGGATGTCCTGAAGGGGGACAGTCGTTTTAGGTAACCATCCCGGGGCTGTCGAGTGGTCATGCTGGACCTCAACTCTTTTGTCCTACTTCCCAGAGGGTGACCTAACGCTAGTGACACACTGATGTGATCATCCGTGGCTGGGGTGCGGACAGGGTGAGGGTCTCAGACAGGACTCCTGCCAGCAGTGTAATCCTCCTGCCCACTGTACAGGGGTCATTTTTATTACTACACAAGGGTGTCACTCACACCAGAAAGTCCCCTGTGAGCTAAGAGCCCATGCTTTACGGACCTGTCGCACCTTCCTCTTTCTGCATTTTATTTATAGGCCGCTGAGGCCACCGTGTCACTTTGCTTTCTTACCTCGATCCTCTGATTCCAGCTGCTAGTTCTCCAATGCGTGCTATCAAGCCAAGTGTTTCCCGGGCACTGACTTCAGCCACCTGCCCAAGGCTCCGCAGGACCACACACTCAGCCGACACTGATTCGGCCAGGCTCTGGGTCAGCCACGCCAGTTCTCCCCTTTCTCCTTCCCTCTGGCCGTCTCTCCTGTGTGTAGCACTGGTTCTCAGTAAAGACATGTGAAGTGCAGCAGTCTCCGCTCCTGCTGGGAGGGGGCATGAAAAGCAAACTAATTTTCTCTGTTTGTCTCCAGCATGCTGGTGGCCGCTATCCAGTCTGCAGGACTGATGGAGACCCTCAACCGGGAAGGGGTCTACACTGTTTTTGCTCCCACAAATGAAGCTTTCCAAGCCATGCCTGCAGATGAACTGAACAAACTCTTGGGTAAAGAGCAATTTAAGCAGATATTCCAGCTTCTCTGAAATAGCAGTCCATCCAGGCCATCCCAGGAAACAAGTAATGCATTACAAAGGGACTTGGTGGTGAGGCCATATTGTAGACATGTGGGCAGGATTAAGGGGACAGCAAATGGGACAACAGTGGAAAATGGGGTGGGGTGAGGATAGGAGCCAGGGAGACTCGGGACAAAGGACACAGAAAACAGCCAGAGCCATTTCCCTCATAGTAGGGCCACGGCAAAGGGGGGTACCTGGGTGCCCCTCCCTTCCTTCCCCCTCTTGGGCCAGTTGACCTCCAGCTGGTTGTAGGAGGGCAGAGGGGAAGCCCCTCAGTTTCCTTGGACACAGTGCCAAGCAAAAAGAAATTAGTCACTGAGGTGTGCTTTCCCCTGGGGGTCTGTGATCACGAAACCACTGACCTGCATTAAATGTCTTCAGAGATAAAAAGCCTTCCCTGGGCAACTCAGCTGAGGGTGGTGGCCAAGAAGGTGAGTGAGCTGGTGAGCTGCTGATCCTCTCTGAGCCTCACTTTCCCCTTTAGACAAATGAGGTTGGCAACAACAGTTCCTGGTTCACTATGATGCAGCTTGAATGTGACACACAGGACAAGTCACACGTTCCATTAATAGTGGTGAGATGACAGTGAGATGGGATGGGGTGATGGGCTTTACCTCTGATGCGTGCCCACCCTCCCAGCAAGGTGAGCCGGGGTACGGAATGGACGAAAAGGAAGCAACTCAGCCCAGCCTCAGAACAAACATTGTTTATGCCTCCCTTCCTGCAGGAGAATTGAAGGCTCAGGTTGCAGTCAGCAAGGAACTAAATTTGTGTCCTGTTTAATTTTATTTATTGCCAAGCAAATGCCTGTGTCTGTGGTGCTGACGCAGGTTCCTGAGAAGAGGGGAGAAGTTCAGTCTGTACATAATCGTCCCATCCTCTCAGCCCTGTAAGAACGGAATACTCCCCAGGAGGCCTGTGCCTGCTCAAATTCCCTCATGTGGAGTTGTGTGAGAGTGGAGGAGGGGTGTGGAGAAAGCTTCCCAAACAGCCTCCAAGCCCTATGGGTAGGGTAAATGACACCTGAGGGGGAGAAGGTTGGCCCTGGTGTTGGGGACCTAGACAGGAGGCCCTGGCTTGACTTTGCACCTCTGGGCCATATTTTTGTGGGAGGGGAACTCTTACCAGCTTCATTGTAGATGTCCGGGAGTCCCTTGGTACAGGGGGCTCTATGCCCTAGCACTATATAGACGTGTTGATAACCAAATGAACTCTCTAAAATGTTTTAAATTTTCCTCTGGCTTTCCTGGTCCTGGGAATAGCCACTCATGTAAGCCCTAGGGAAAAAAGCCATTGGCTGTCTATGGGAGGATCAGAGACCAGGGGATAGCCGGCAGATTTAGGTGCTGCCTCTCATGTAACTTGGGCAATGCCTGCCCCAGTTGGCAGAGAAACTGATGTGGGCTGGAAGGAATGTTGTGATGTGCCGGGGAGGAAGGATGCTGTGGAGGGATCAACTGTCTCAGCCCTGACCTCATCGGCTCCATGGCTCCTCCGAAGCACAGCTGTTCAATCTTTCAAGTTCTCCCTCCAGGAAATAGCTCTCTCCAGCAGAAAATGCACTTGAGGGCATAATGTGTAAATATTTCACTACTGTGTTATAGTCGGCAGGAGCCACGTCAATGGTGAAGCGTCCCAGATGCCGATGCTGGAAAGGTCCCTGGCTTTCCAGGCAAATATTTAGCTCATGGAAACATGAGTCATACTCATAGAGGCGTATGGATTAACTCCTTCTCAGCTGCCACAGAATCCTGCTTAACTTAGCTGCCTGCTGGCTACAGGGCCAGCTCACAGACACAGTTGTCTGCTGACCGTTAGGCAGAGAGTGGGCCTTCAGCTGTACACACAGTGGGTGCTCAGTACACACTTCTGCTAGTTCAGTGGGTTGTCCTTGGGAGAAACCATGGGTATCTTCCCTTGTCCCTTAACCTCACCAGTCATCACTCTTGTGCTTGACAGTGTCTCCTTCTTCCACAATCTTACAGCAAATGCCAAGGAACTTACCAACATCCTGAAATACCACATTGGTGACGAAATCCTGGTTAGTGGAGGCATTGGAGCCCTGGTGCGGCTGAAGTCTCTCCAAGGCGACAAGCTGGAAGTTAGCTCGGTGAGTACATCAAGGGAAGGTTGGCTGTGTGCTGCCGTGCCATCTCGAGGACATGCCTCACCAGGCACACAACTTTTAAGATACTAACTGAACCTTTGAGTGTGGTTTGTCCAAAGACAGAGAGGAAAGAGGAACTCCTGAGGGATACCAAGGAAGATTATAGTTAGATGTAAGAACTTCCAGATGTTCGGGGCAATAGGGCATCTGATGTGGACTGTGAACTTTAGAAAGTGGGAAGTAGTTACTCATCGTGAGAAGTCAGTCCCCTGTCTCCTTCCCCAGCTCCAGCCCCCAAAGCCAGGCTCGCACTGAGCTGTCCCATGACTGGCCTCTTAAGAGGCCCTTCTATTCTGGCGCTCCTCTGGGAGCCATCTCTGGCTGTGTGTTGAGGGTGGCGCTCAGGTTTGGAGCTGTGTTGAAAGTGTTTCTACCTTGGAAAGAATGCAGTAGCCTCACTCAGCAGAGGCCATCCCTGTGGATAGGAGCTGGTGGCTCTCTGCCCCTTTCTCTGGATCTTTGGTGTCCCTTGCTCATCAGATCCTTGGAGAGCATGGGAAGACGTGGGAGGAAGGCTGGGAGAGATCTCTTTAAGTCAAGGTCACTCAGGGTCTCTCAGGATTGAGTTCCATACGTTAGATCCTGTCTGTCACAGGCACATGGGCTGTCCAAGAAAGCATCACCCCGAGGCGACCTTTCCACCTATGTATTTTCAAGGGCCTATGTGGCCTTTCTTGCACCTCAGCTCCCACTTCTGTTAAGAGACAGTCTCCCTCCTTAACCCCCACTGGGTGAGGGCAGGAATCCTGCCGCTCGCACTGCACTGAGCTTACACAAGGCAGTGGAAGTCTGCAGTGGGGAAGGGCCACTGCTCACCAGAGAAGCCCTGGCACCCACGCACAGTGTGGGTGTGTGGTCAGCAGGTGCCTGATGAACCAGTGAAGCCAGTCGTCTCCACATTTAACAACTGTTGTCTCTTCCCTTAGAAAAACAATGTGGTGAGTGTCAATAAGGAACCTGTTGCCGAAACTGACATCATGGCCACCAATGGTGTGGTCTATGCCATCAACAGTGTTCTGCAGCTGCCAGGTGAGGTCCTAATCTGTGGTCCTAAATGAATGGTGCCCATGAGTATGGCCTCCCTGTGGTTGACTGGACAGTGAATTAGGAGCTATGGTTTCAAGATGACACGCTAAAGAACTTGAGGGTGTGTTTCTTACTGAGTTGCCTGCTATCTTATCCCAACTCTTACATTTCCCAGCATGTATATTTACAGGGGTGCTGGTGGCAGACAGGGCCCAGATATGTGTGTGTGCATGGAGACACTGGTTACAGAGGGAGCCGGGCTGTGTGTGCACGAGGACATTGGTGGCAGACAGGGCCAGGCTGTGTGTGCACGAGGACATTGGTGGCAGACAGGGCCCAGATATGTGTGTGTGTGCATGGAGACACTGGTTACAGAGGGAGCCGGGCTGTGTGTGCACGAGGACATTGGTGGCAGACAGGGCCCAGATATGTGTGTGTGTGCATGGAGACACTGGTTACAGAGGGAGCCGGGCTGTGTGTGCACGAGGACATTGGTGGCAGACAGGGCCAGGCCGTGTGTCCACTAAAATACGGTTAGCAGACAGTGGGCTTTTCTTTCTCTCTAGCCAACCGACCACAAGAACGAGGAGATGAGCTGGCAGACTCTGCCCTTGAAATCTTCAAACAGGCATCAGCATTTTCCAGGGTACGTGTTCTTTCACCAGAAAGCCGTGGGCTGAGGAAAGCCGCCGTGGAATCCACCTGGCTAGTGGGGACAGCTCACTCAGAGTTCATGCTGTAGCAACCTGGCTGCCAGGCCTCCAGATTAGTCTTCCGTTTTCCAAAGCTTACCCATCCTCTGCAGAGTGTGTGGCTCCTGTAGTGTGTGTGGAGCTGGCCTCCCTGGCCTCAGCCCTGTATGCCTCACCCAGAATCTTTCTCTTCCTGAGTTTCCCTGCAGGGTTCCCTGCCAGCTTAGAGCATGGTGAGGGGTCCTCTGAGTCAGGTAAAGCCCGTTAGTAGGTTATTAAAGCTTTGGTTTCAAGAGAAGAGGCTTCAGTTTTGAGTCCTGACCCCAGAGGCTAGGCTGGAGCTCTATCTAACATGACCCTCTACTTTTGAACAGAGATCTCCTCCACAAGGGCTCTGTACTCTTACTCTTGGGAGATGCTCCAGCTGATCACCACCCCCAACTCTAAGCTTCGGTCTCCGTGGAAAAGCCTCACTTGGGGTCCCCCAGGAATGTCTATCCTCTCTCTACATAAGCCCTCACTTGAAAGGGGGCTTGTACAACCAAAGGCCCCTGAGCTAACTGAGGGGGTCTTTGGGGCCCATGGACTCAGCGTCCCTCTCCCTTTTCCCCACCTCAGCATTTGCTCTAAGTTGGGATGGCAAGTGCAAAGCCGCTCCCTACACAGGTCCAGTGACAATGTGTACTAGGAAACCTGACATCCTAGGCAGGCACGACACACAGGGACGGCTTTCCCTCTCTGGAGGACTGCCACAAGTTCCAGACAAGCCAGGGCTACATAGTGAGACCCTGTCTCAAAAAAAAAAAAAAAAAAAGAAAGAAGGAAGGTTGGGAGGTGGGTAGGGAGGGAAAGACAGAGACAGAGGGGAAGGAAAGGAAAAATAAATGAAAAGAAAGCCTGACCCATGATTGTTTGTTCTTTCAGGCTGCCCAGAGGTCCGTGAGGCTCGGTAAGTGTCTGGGTTTGCTGTCCCGTCTGGGCTAATGAGCCCACCAGTCCCTAGCAGAGCCAATCTGCTGTCTGTTATCATGGGCAGTAAAAGAAGCCTGGCCCTCGGGTCAGAGTAGCAAGGTCAGCTGGGGTCAGACAGGCAATCTAGTTTCCTTCCCTGTGGCGTGGAGATAGCGGAGCAACAGCCCGTGGGGGGGGGGGGGGGGGGATGTGGCTTTGGGCTCAGGGAGCCTGGGAAGATTGCGCAGGGCTTGGCGGGCTCCCACACTGAGGATGTCATTCCGAGACGATAGATGAGGAAAAGCCAAAACATCAAATACTGAGTAAGACATAAAGTTCACAAACCCCAGGGCCCCCACTATGTACCTGAACAGGAGAACATGGCAGAGGGGCCTCACAGCTTCTGCCCATGAGATTCTGAAGCTGGGCCCTATGGTACATGATCCCAACTACTTGGTAGTCTGAGGCAGGAGGATTGCAAGCCTAAGGTCTAGATAGGCTACAGATTGAGTTCAAAGCTATCTGATCAATCCAGTGAGATCTTGACTCAAAAGTAAAAGTGAAAAGTGGGCATGGCTATCACTCAGGGCTGAGAGATTTGCCAAGCATGCATTTGGCTCTAGTATCATCCCCTAGTATCACCAATTCAAAAAGACTAAGAGTCCCAGACAGATGGTGGCACACCAGACAGACGGTGGGATACCTGCATCTTACTGGCTCTCATGCTTCCCATTTTCAGCTCCTGTCTATCAGCGGTTACTGGAGAGGATGAAGCATTAGCAGGAGGTACCAAGGAGGAGTGTACGGCAGCAGCTCCCTGCCACTTTCTCTCAGTTTGCCAAAGAGACCATTGAATGTTTTTGAAACCAAATCACACTTCAACATACATGGGCTGCACCGTATTGAGATCTGAGCCTTGGACAGGTAGGGAAGGGATAGAGGAGAGGCAGGATTTTGTTTTTGTTTTGTTTTTTAGATTTTGATCCCTCTAAACATGGTTGTTGACCCACTGAACATACAGACTACCTGGCTCTGACCTCCAGAAAGGACCTCTCCAAAGCATGGACTTTTCTGACTGTGCAGAGGGCCTGAAAAAGGGAACTGCAGCATTTTGGAGCTCACAAATGTGAATCAAGCAGTTCCACATTCTGGAAAGCCCTGGCATGTTTCTGTAAAGCTCTTGTACAGCTGGAGAAATGGCATCACTATAAGCTATGAGTTGAACTGTTTCTGTCAGATGTGTCTTGTATCCACACATGGCTTGGACACTTCTATATGGCCCTGCCCAGGTAGAAAAGAAAGGGTATATAGAACATGTAGAATACAGATTTCCTGAGTGCGATGGAGCCATGGTGTATTTGTAATAATAAAAACCAAAGAGATTTATGGCTGTGTGCTGGCTGGTGGTGTCAGGGATGGGTTCTGCTCCTTGGAGCCTGCAAGCTGCTACACACCTGAAGCCCCCCAAGACCAGGTCAGCAAGGAACTCCAAGGGTGGTTATTGGTACGGTTCCAGCGACTGGCCCTCAGGTGCCCACACAGCTGTGTGGGTACGTACCCCAGCCTTGGCCCTCGGGTGCCCACACAGCTGTGTGGGTACGTACCCCAGCCTTGGCCCTCGGGTGCCCACACAGCTGTGTGGGTACGTACCCCAGCCTTGGCCCTCGGGTGCCCACACAGCTGTGTGGGTACGTACCCCAGCCTTGGCCCTCGGGTGCCCACACAGCTGTGCCGTGTGAACCTCAGCCTTGGCTGCACTTGTTTCTACCCGGTCCCGAGTCCTCAGTTTTCACATCACCCAGCACTGTACCCCTTCATTTCTTTGAACCTTCCTCCTTCCAGGGATGAGATGCCATCTTTGTGTTGGGCTTTTGATGACTTGGTCTTGCCAACACAGACCCATCAGTCAAGGGATCAGGTGGGTACTCCAGGAAGGGAGGCCACAATGGGGCTGGAGCCCATCTCCCGGCTCCAGAGACCAGTATCTGACAAGAGAGCCAGTGCATCTTTCCCAGGCTCTGCCTTCTGGGCCTACCCATGTTCAGATCTCCTTCCTGCTCCCTCAACCTATGCCATCTAGACTTTGCCCAGTACTCTGGGGTCCGTATTATGTGACTGTAGTAGTGACTTAACTTTATAGACTTTCTATGTAATGGGGTGGTGACCTACTTCCTGGGTTAGATATTTGTGGATACGAGGGTAAGGTAAGACATGGTCTATAGAGTACTGCACAGTGTCATGTCCTTATTGCTATGCCTTCTGGAATGCTCAGAATCCTTGTATCCATCACTCAGGTCTTTCCTGAAGGTTGCCTGCTCCCCTGGAGAATGAGACAGCCCTGACCATCCACACCCTGCTCTGCCACGGTGGCTCACTCGATCAGGTGGAGCACACTTGACTTCGTGCATACACACACACACACACACACACACACACACACACACACACACACACACACACACACACGTAGCTAAAGCATAAAACCAGTCAATTCTGGGACTAGGATGATGGTGGAGGCAGGAAGGCTCTTCTCTTACATAGTTTTGAGTCTAGAGAAAGATAGACATTGTATCAGTCCATTAAAATTGACTGTCCAGAGGGAATGGATAGATGACTCAGTGGTAGGTGTGCATGCTGTTCTTGCAGAGAACCTGAGTTGGGTTCCCAGCACTCATGTTCTACAACTCACAACCACCCATAACTCCAACTCCTGGGGGTCCAATGCCCTCTTCTGTCCTCTTTGGACACCTACACCTACATGTATATACCCCCACATACATTCACACAATTAAAAATAAATCTTTTCCCTCATGTGCACAGATATCTTTAGAGGGTCACACACATCCGTCTTAGGTCTGGGTAACAGATATCTTTGTTGTCATGAAGCTTCCCTGTGGGTGGAAAGAGAATGGTCACTCAGTTAATGGCACCAGTGGTGACAAGTGCAGAGACTGAAGCTCAGCACCTCAGCTCTGTGACGGGAAGGAACCCGAGGGAGCGGGCAAGAGGAAGGGATAGCCTCGAACAACCACTGTATCCAGAAGTGGGAGGTGCTGAGGGGAGCTCAGATGACTAACCTTGCCGTCCAGGGTGAGGGGCTGGGGGAGACAGCATGTTGAGAGGTGAGGCACAGCCTTGTGTGTGCACAGTCCCGCTGCTTCCCCACAGCTCCTCCGGCCTCCTGGGCAGTCCCCTGGCCTGGCACTGTGACGACCTTGCTCTTGTTGGGTGACCTGCAGCTGTGTTTCACTTTGAGTACACACAGTACCCAAGACTCCAGCAGCACCCTAAGGGATGGCTCTCCTAACTCTTAAAACGCATTACATTTTAAGTAGAACTCCGCTGGAGAGGTGGCTGAGCAGTTCAGAGCACTGGCTGCTCTTATAGAAGGAGCTGCGGTTTCCAGCTCCTACACAGTGGCTCACAACCATCTGTTACTCTCCTTCCGTGGGGATCTGATGCCCTCTTCTGACCTCCATGGGCACAGGAACACATGTGGTACATAGCCATACATCAGGCAAAAACATTTATATACATAAAATAATACAATAGATCTTTTAAAAAATATTTGAAATAAAACCTCCGGTAGGATTCCTTAAAAATGCCAAATGCCGACCTGGGTTTGAACCCTTCCCCGACCTTTTCTCCATTCTGCCTTAACCACATCCTTGCCCCAGCCCTTCCAATAAGGAATTCCCCTCTCCCAAACTCCCATCCTCTCCCTGTGGCCACAACCATAGAGCCTCTCCCTTTGGTACCCTTCAGCCCTTCACCCGCATGCTGCTTCTCATAAAGCTCAGGCTAAGCTTTAAACGTGTGCTGCCACCTGGAGGCTGGCCTCCTAAGGCTGAGAAATCTACCAGCCAAGACCCAGGCCTCCCCTGAGTCCCAGCCTTAATCCGGGGAGGGGATAGAGATTGAAGGGGAAGAGGATTCTGCCTCTTACTGCTGTCTTCTGGGAGCACAGGACCCTCTGGAGTTCCAGAGGGTAATGCCAAGGTCCTCAGCATCCCGGGCCCAGGAACCACCCGATGGGCAGGGGCTGCCTACACCTGTCCTCACTGGCCCACTGGGAGGACAGCCTTTCTGTTGGCCAAAGAGGGTCCACAGCGCTAAGCAGTAGAACTGCACGAACAAGTGAGCATTGCTGTTTCCTCCCCAGTGCTGTGAGCAGGGAGCTGCTGTGGGAGTTTGCACTCCCTGCTACAAAACTGGAGGATGAGAAACGGAAAACCGTGTGCCACATCACCCTGCGTAGGAGCTGACCTGGCTCCAAAGCCCACACCCTGGACTTCTCTGCTCCCTCTGCCCACTGTACCAGGACCAAGTGAAGCATGACCCAGTCAGCCCTGAGCAAGCGGGACACAGGCAAAGGGGAGCCCACTCTCCTGAGATCACCCTTCCCCAGAGAGGAGGCCGGGTCTCTGCTGCACCCCCCTAACTATAATTTGCTATCACACCACTGAGGGACTGGGATAGGGGAACAGTCAGAGTCACGGAGCCCCAGCAGCATACCAACATCATGAAAGACAGAGGGAAACCCCTCTGTGATGGGACCGTAATTCAACACCGGGCCCTTGAAGAGCTGCATGGAACATTGTGCTCAGATTTGTTTCGAAGCCAGGAAAGACGGCCCTGGAATGAAGGGTGGGCCCAGTGCCCCACCCACAGAAGTCAAATGGGGCCACTCGGACCAACCATTCATGCCTGGCAAGGATGGAAAGTCACTTACTCCAGAGAGCCAATACAAAGACGGAATTGGGAGGGGACAGGGCCCTGGAATCCCCTACACCCATCTGCACACACCCACCCCACACCCACACTCACTCTACTCCCACACCCACACCACACTAGGGCCTAAGAGGTCTGAGACAGAAGGCCAGACATGAACAACTGTGCTCCTCATTGATGGAGCAAGTGACGGCCCCATGACCATCATGGAGTAGAAATAAACAGAGCTGCCCCCAGGTCTATGGTAATGAGCCTGTTAACACTCCCTAGTAGAAGGAAGGGAGGGTTCATGGATCACCTGGGGTTCAACACTGCCCCCACCTCCCCCTGCACACGCTCTTGAGGGGTGCTGCTGTATCTAAGAGGTGGAAGGTTAGCTGGAGGTGGGATGTCACCGCACACTTCTCAGTGAGACCACAGTTTTCTAGTCACGCCCGCTCTTGTAAGTAACTCTAACACCCACGTTGCTGGGGCCTGGACAGGCCATTTGACTTTCTAACCCTTTGGAGGAGATGGTTTCCATACATTCCCAGAATCCTCCCCGCCTGCCCGCCCCCCCCCCCCCCCCCAGTTTTATTTGCAGGAAGTTATAAGATTTGGGAATAGCAGAGGGGGAAGACTTCTGATTAAATGCCCGCATTTGGTCCGAAATGAGGTTTTGCATGAACAGATGGGAAACTCCTCTTCCCTCCAGTCAGTGGTGCCTGTGGTCGCCATGGCTTCTTGAGAGCAACCTGTCAATAACTGAAGTTCGAGGAAGCGGTGTGCATGCAGCATCCTTGAGCTTTCAGGACACCCAGGGTATAGGATAACGACAAAGCCCTGCTGCTTCCAGCCAGCTGCTGCCATGGTGGGAACGGACAGAGATACAGGATGCTGGGTAAACACCCTTGGTGCTGAGGTTGCCGCTGTGTGCCACCGTTCTCGTTTACATGTGCTTTACATTGGCCTGAATTCTGCAGACCACGTGCTTCTCAAGCAGAGAGCAAGCTCCTGCTCAGTGGCCGTGCACAGCAGGCATGCACGAGCACAGTCACAAGCCGGCCTCTTTGCCCACAGCAAGAAAAAGGACCCTCATCCTCAGAGTTCACAGTGCACCCATCTTAGTGAGGGAACCTGAGGGGCCCCACAGATCCCAGTGACACGCAAGACCTTGACCTAAAACTCGGGACTATGGAGAACATAGGCTGATGGGAATTTCTGGGCCATTAAGTGATGTAAGATCATGTTACCAGTGGCTATCTATTACTTACTCAAGAATATCCTTCCACCAGAGAGCACATTTATCAATAGCCAACTGCCTTTCATGGAGATCACAGAACTTATACCAGTGAATGATTTAAAGTAAAATCCCATTTGTCATCTTTCTAAACCAGATGTTTAACTTCAGAAAGTTACTTCGGGGGCTGGAAAATGGCTTGAAAAACAGTGATCTTCACTTCATAAGAAGAGTGCTGGAGACACAACGTAGTAGAAGTGAGACAGATGTGTTTTCCTTTCCACAGAAGCCAGGCATCGGCCTGGACAAGAGGCCAAAATGGCCGTTACCATGATTTGGTGCATAACAGGTTTTTATATATTCCTAACTGCATTCTCCTGCCCCTCAAATTCCCCATTGACTGAGTTCTTCAGGGAGGTGTGATCCTTCCCTCTGG